AGCACATCCGATCTCAAAAAATACATTGGCGCTTACATACAGTACTTTCATCCACATTTACCATTTTTGCACATTCCTACACTTAACTTCGATTTTTCGACTCCCATAAATGATGGCCGTGGCGCTGCCACTTCTGTTGAAGGACCCGGATGTCTTACACTTTCAATGGCTGCTATTGGTGCATTATATGCAGGCGATCATCAACAATCGAAGATGCTATTTGAATCGGCGAAGAAAATGCTGCAGCTATACATAGAAGCCCGACGTAAAGCTGATGTTCGTAGAGCGGACCACCGCTCAAGAGCCCCAGACAATTCCACTCACACCCCGGTATTCCTTGCACAGGCTATGCTGTTGAACATTATCTATGGTTTCAATTCTGGCGATAAAGTAGCTGGCGAAAGCGCTCTCATTCACTGTGCTACTTTGGTTAGCCTTGCCAATGCCGTCATCAAACCACCATCGTCTTCTCAAAACGGATCATCACAACAGGATGGGCGGATGACGAATGGCGATGATGCGATAAATGGCTTCATCAAACCCGAAAATCTAGATGATGAACAGGAGTGGCACCAGTGGAAGACTGCTGAGGAGAGGAAACGAACTTTATACGCGATCTTCATACTCTCTAGCATGCTTGTGTCGGCCATCAACCATGTTCCTTTCTTAACCAACTCTGAGATCGAGTCTGACCTACCTTGTAACGAAGAATTCTGGTCGGCTGAATCCGCCAATAGCTTCAATGCGCTGGGTGGTTCCAAAATGGCCAATTACAATCAAACCACATTCAAGGCTGCTTTGGGCGAACTACTACAAGCTGGCAATAGACAGCAATATCAGCAAGCTCAAGCTCAACATTTCGGAAATGGGCACAATGCTCAAGACTTGCCCCAGAGTGATTTGAAGCCAAGTACTTTTGGATGTCTGATTTTAATTAATGCGCTGCATAATTACATTGTATGTTGATTCGACCTATAGGTCCTCAAAAGAAAGAAAATGCTGACACGAGTGTAGTGGGAAACCAGACAGAGACATGTTGACAGGAGGTGGGGGACTGAGGAAACTGAAAAGATGTATCGCCACATTGAACCTGCCCTAAAAGCATGGCAATTAGCATGGCAACGTACCCCAGAGCACAGTGTGCAACGCCCCAATCCATTTGGGCTGGGACCGCTATCAGCTGACAGTGTTCCTCTCCTCGACTTGGCATATGTTCGTTTGTTTGTGAACATGTCAGCTTCAAAAGAAATGTTCTGGAAACGTAACTTCGATGACATGGCAACCGAACTTGCCGGAGGAAAAGACACCATACAACATTCGGAGCACTCTCCCCACTCCAATACAGATTCTACGGAATTTTCAAGCGGTTCAACTGCAAGCTCTGTGTTCGTCGATTCTCCTACAACATCAAACTCTCCTCCTGACGTCCAATCTTCTAGTGCGTTCCAAACCTCTCCGTCCAATCAACCAGAGGGCCCCAGCGATCGCGAACGCTTACTTAGAAAGGCAGCTTATTATGCAACAGATTTCCTAGTAATGTCAAATAAGTTCGGCATTACTTTTGCAGACTTTACCTCTCGGGAGCTCCCACTACAGGCTGCCATGTGCGCATTTGATTGTGCACAAGTAGTAGCCGAATGGATAAGCTTAGTGCAGGAACGCCTAGGACGTTACATCGGAATTCTGGGCCATGCGGACGTTGATTTCAGCAGCGTGCCTGCTATCATATATCTTGAAGATGAAGATGTCAGACTTTTGGAAAGAATCAAAGAGGTTGTCAACATCACTGAAGCGAAGATGCAACATGAAATGGCAAACAATATTCATAATCAGATAAATGCCGGTCAGACAAACGCCGTTCAGATGAATACTGGTCAAAGATCTCCCGCTCTAGATAATTGTGGATTTGGAAGCAAGATCCTAAGATTGACTACTTACCAGCTCGACAGAGCTGCAGTTTGGCAATGTTTGTACTATCCATCCCCAAGTCAACTTTCAGAGACCCTAACTCAAGCCACAGTAACACGCCTCATGGCACGAGCTTTAGAGACGCAAGCTGTTCACGTGCAAACACGAGCAGAACGCTCTAATAAACTAAAAGACAATCTCTTGTGATTTAAAAGTCAGGAAACGCCCTTGATCACGCACATAAAACAAAAGCAATTTCCTATTATTACTCTTTCTAATTTTTTTGTAAAAAGAAATAGGACAAGACTAGGACATGTCTTGTTGCTTTCCTTTTGCGGTATATCTGGGGATGGAAGGTTGCTTGTTTCACATACATATACACAAAATTATGGCTATGGTACATTCATTCAGAACTTTCTAGGGGGAGCTTCATGGGAAGGCACGACACTCTATTTATGGAACGAGAGTTCCCCTTCGCATTTAATTGTGTTTCTAACGCGTGCTTGACGATACCAGCTTTGGTTATTTTTCGCTTATTTTCACATTGGGTTGGAGTTCTATCTTCGAGAGTTTGCTTCTGTGGCTGGTTCAAATGGGTATAGGCGTTCATTGATGGGTTGAGGTGGGATCAAGGGTTTTGCGTTACATATGGGGTTGTTTAATGCAATGTCAAGGTTGCTTCAATGATATGACGGAATGCTTGATGATGTTGACGATTCGAATGGAGAGGATGACTATCTTCTTTTGCTTTTTGAGTTCAATGGTTGATACATTATGAGATGCACATAATGGATGGCTTTGAGTGTGGGATGGAGGCGTTTCCTTGAGCAGGGCTTGCGAAGCTTGAGCGTAGGCGTGATTTTGGCTGGGGGTGCATGATGTGGTGAGGGAATATTTGAAGAGAGATTGGAGCGGAAGCCAAAGGCAAATGCAAAGATTAAAAAGTGCAAAATATGGCGGGCTAGATTTCTTCTCGGATGAAAGATGGGTGGTTGATATGGGAATGATATTTAATCAGCATGGCATTGAACGAAAGGAAGAAAATTGGTGGGCATTGAATTGGGATGGATGGATGGAACTGGGACAAAGGATCGGCTTCGGGATATTAAGGGGTACCTACCAAACTACCTAGGCAGAGGTGAATGGCAGCGTAAGATAAAATGCATAATGCAAATAAAAATTATTGAATAAATTTTGTATGATTGCAAAAAACTGTGAAACGTGGTGAAGATGGTGAGAATAGAATCTCATCCAGTAGCTTTTTTAATAGTTGATTGAGACTCGAATTGAATTGTACAGGAGCAGAAGGAGAGGAAGGATTTAGTGATTTTGAATAGGAAGGTGGATGGGTTGATGACTTTGAAGATTCGTGCGTGATAATCAGAGGAAAAGAGAGTGGAGAGGTAAGAGAGTTAGAGTAAGAGTGGCAGCTGGTGGGAGAGGAGGGTCTGGAGTAGATCAGTGGTAGTACTAGGTAGTATGCAAGGAATTCGGAAAAAATGTAAAGGTATGGAGATAAGAGAGGACATGTAATAGAGAAGACGAGAGAAAGGGAGAGGAAAATTGTAGAGGCGGCTTGGCTTAGAAGTTAGACTATGGAGAGGGAAGATGGAGGGCTGTTGATTTTTGGGTTTCGGTTTTGAGATGTGTGGGTGAGAGTGGGAGGATAGCTGGTTGGATGTGTTTGTGTTTGTGGGGGGGTAGAGGGGGCTTATTGGGATAGAGGGGGTGGGATGGGGTGGGATTGGAATTGGAATTGCATATGAATTTTAGGGAGGAGGAGATTGTTAGATGGAGGAGGATGATATGGATATTGGTATGTTATGCTGAGGGGTTGAGAGGGAGAATAGAGAATAGAGGAGGGAGGAATACTTGAGTAGTTAAGTATTTAAGTAGTCAAGTAATTGTAGCGAGAGAGAGAGGAGTAACCAGGGCAGTGATTGAAAACTACATTGAGAACTAAATTGAAAACTCAAAACAAGAACTTGAGAGACGGGAATCAGAATTGTGATCGAGAAATGGGGAATAGGGGAAAGGAAATAGGAAATAGGAAACATGAAATATTTTTATGCGATTTGTAATTTGGATTACAGATTATCTGGATGAGCTGATTTATTTAGAGTCTAGATAGCGAGCGAGAAGAAGTCGAAAATGAAAATGAAAATGAGGGGTCACCAGGTGATTTTGTGTGTAGGATATATGATGCTACCGGATACGGATACGGATATATGATTTTGAAGCTTTTATATATACGATATACCTGGATCACGCATATTTTCTCCTGCTGGCTCGGGAGGTATGAGATATGAGACATGAGGGGAATAGAGCACATATAAGAAAGACATTCATCTCAGCTTCTCATCTCTATCTCTAGCTTCTTCTCACTATGCTATACTATTATGAATTCAAAGTACAGTAATCCTAACCCTGGAAAACTAGCAAGCTAGTTAGTTAGCTTCTATCAATCATATCCATCTCCCCCAACCTCAAGCTCAAGTACAACCCCAAGTCAAAGCAAATCTCCATCCTCCATCTCCACCCCTCCCAAACCCATCTCTTTTTCTTTCCCTTCCCTCTGCATACCTATGTAATTCAGATCAATCCACCTACTCCATTCCATCAATCCCATCAATCCCATCAATCCCATCCATTCTATTAGATACCTCTTAGATTATTTCAGAGGAGAGAGAGTACATGTTCAGTATAATGATTCTCCGAGTCTCTGGGTCTCTGGGTGTGTGGTTGCATTCTTGCTTTAACTTTTACTTTTTGCTTTTGCTTTTGGGATCGCCACTGTCCCTTCATATCATCGTATATTCATCTTCAACGAAGCGAACGGACAGTCAGTCGAGTCAAGACTGATCAGGTACATCATACAACTTTCCTTCCCCTGTTCATTGCCCTTTTCTCCTTCACACTGCAGGTTATAGATTCGGAGTGAGTGATGGAAGAGTAAGGTATAGAAGAGTGATTTGTGATATACATATGCACTCTCTATCTCAGTATACATATTAAAGATACACGGTACTAGCTCTTGCGATTATTTTGAGGCAAATACTATTTTAAAATACGAAGAAGAGGAGTCAAGATTCGGGAACCGGCATGAATAGACTTTCTTCTTTAATTCTTCCTTTACACCCTAAATTCTTTTAAACCGGTCCATCTCGATCTAAACACTTAAACAGCTATCAGCAAAAAAAGTGACATGTTCTCTACAGACAAGTACATCGGCCCAGATGCCACTTTATTGCGTTAGTTTCATTACACAATCTCTTAGCCCGCCATCTCAAAGTTGGAGATCTGGAGTTCTGATCGTGGAGGCTTTTGGAGTTTTTCTTTCAGGACCCAACGAACGATCATTGCATTATCAAGCCTTTCCAAAAGCTAGAATTCAAACCAAGGTTATGCAATCACTCATCCGTTGCACAAACTTCAAATTATTCTCGGCTATTAAGGAAGTTCGATAAAAGAATGAAGCCGAGAGAAGCTAGCGGTGGAGAGAGCCCATATGAAACAAAGCGGATGAGTGCACGCCAATAGGCACTAAAGCAGCACAAATTGAGGTGCGTAAGATTTCTGGAAATCAACCGATGTGCCCGTAAAGTCGAAAATATTACTTCCATTCTCGGTGCTTTCTCTCTCTGCCTTTCTGCCATTGACAGGTTGAAAGAATCTGCATCTTACACAGAAATCGACTTGGTCGAAAAAAAAGGTGCATAAAAATTGGAAATGGACTCGCCTACATAAATCTGTAGTAAAAAAAAAAGGTAATAATTTGAGGAATTTGGCAATACTCATTTGACGTATACCCTTGACCAAGGACCAATGTATCTTGAATCTTGCCCAAGGATATTAATCTTGCAGAGTCTGGTTGAGGAATGTAGCATTGTGTAAAGAGATAATGTTGACAAAGCAGGAAAAATTCCATGGCTAAATATTCATGAAGAATATGGTGTAACTGACTGGGAAAATCAAAATGGCTTACATGCACAAGCCCTCCTTACCAACTCTCATATTTATCAAGAACTTTCATGACCCACCACAACCCGGGAGCTATGCATTGAATGCATTCTTCTCTATATGGAGAACGGGAACTGCTCAACGCGCATCACCCTAGCATTAAACCAAAGATATGCTGCACGAGATAATCATCGTACACCTAAACCCCACTCTTGAAGCATCCGCTCAATCCGCAATATTCGACGCTCGAGACATGGAATATAGAGGACAATCTTGATGCTAGAGATTGCTTTGAGTAGGGTTGAGCTTTTGGCCGTTGTACTAGGGCATAATATACTGGGGCACGTGGTCATTAATATTGGGCATCAATCCAAATCTGTGCACTACAGCACTCCTATTGGTTTTGGGACCCATGGCCCTTCCCAGCGCGACCAGCCTTTCTCCGTACTATTCGCAGAAGATTTGTCGTCTTTAGATATTTGTATGGATGCAGCGGCAGTATCCAAATCATGTTCCATTTTCACCATTCCCGCTCGGATATCGTCAAGATCCTGGGCATTTGTATTGGGAACAGACGTGCTATTACTTTTGGGAGATTTAGATTCTTCCCAATCAGATATCTTTTGTCGGAAATTGTGCGCTTGTAATATCGTCATTGGATCTTCTAAAGAATCCTCAAGTTCACCTAGCGCGCGAAGAAGGTCGTCTACCCCATAGGCTTCAAGTCGATCCTTTATCATATTCAGATTGATTCCTTGATGTTTCTGCTCTAGAACCCCTCGTACGAATATCTTGCAATCATCGTCCTTTTCATCGATTGATAAATCTGCCCAGTAAAAATCCCAAATCCACTTCAATGCTTTGCGCGCAGCGATTCGAAGTTTAGGAAGTGAAGGGAGTTCTTCGTGAGTAGCCTGATGCCGAAGTTCGACGTATGTGGCTGGTAGACCAATAGTTTTCGCAATTGAGTACATACTTAATTTGCGACGTTTATCTTGATGACTATCTAGGAGACCTGTAACGAAACTAACGACCAAGCGTAAAATTAATAAGCCGGATATCACAGGAAGATAGATTACGAGAAGACTTCAACGTACCGACAGAAAGCAGCAGAATAAGCAGCTCTCACGCAATAGGGTGAATTTCCAGGAACATCGTTTAGAATAGCCGAAGTAATGATCGCAGAGGACTCAACGAGATGCGGGCAATTTCCTCGTTGCATCCATACGGATATGAGGCATACGGCTTGTCGGCGATGAGAATCATTAGGAGGGGTTGTCTCAGTATTTTGGTAAAGTTTTTCGCGCACTTGGAGAAGCTCGCGACGCGTTCGCCAAGGCGTAATTACGAATTGAACCATAGTTCGTGCGTATTCAGAGACTAGGTGGAGAAGGACGATGTCTGGGAGGAATACGTCGGAGAAGAGTGGAGTTGTTGTGGTGACTTGCGACTGTATGAGAAATGTTTGAAGTTTTATCCAAGATATTAATCAGAGCTGAGTTGCTTGCTAATGAGATGCCTCAGGATGTCAAGTAAAAGTCCTGAGGCTGCTACTCTCCTTGTGATCTGAAAGCCGAAGTTCTAGCGTTGAACCTCATAAATATTAATAAGCTTACAACCCCAATCGAAGTGATAGCACGTGTATTGATCGATATTCAAGTATTCATCAGCACTATTTTTAATAAGTATAGAGGAGTATTATCTTGTCTGCTAATTCCGAAAATTCATTCGGGGGTATTGATATTGTGTAAAGCTATCTATATACATATACATATCAACCTTCTTGGGTAGATACTTCACCTGTGGACATTGTTGAATACAAGTGCCTAACAGGATTTTGACATATCCCATCCCAATATTGAGCCTATTGCTCATTCCAGTCATTGCTGACATGATCCTATAGTTTCCGATGCTCTAATATAGCTAACCCCAACACCCAATCCAATCCAACTCCATCGCTAAATTTCAAAGTCATAAAGTTTTTCCCATCCAAAGTTCCATGCTCCTTTTAATTAGATCCAGCTTGCATAATTCATTGCGTAACTTCCATCGAAGTCGGGGAAGGGCTGTGTAGTGCCCATCATATAAGTGGTAGCGTCAGCCAGTTGTGTAGATTTCTCGGGTACAACTTCCTCCTCCTCGTCATCCTCCCCTTCACCGTCCTCCTCGTCGTCGTCCTTTTCAGCGGGTGGTTGCCATGTCTCCTCCAGCTTCAAGCCTTTACCAACTCCTTCGGGTCGACGATAACTGTTGCCTAGAAGCTGTGACGACATCATTCGGTAGTTGTCAAGTTGAGGATCTGACAATGACATCTTGCTATTGTCTGGAGTATCGTACAATCCCATGCCAATCAACTCCTCACCCTCTGGTTCATCATCAGACAGCGAGTGATATGGTATCGATTCATCTGGAGTGAAGGTGGGTTCAGGATGTTGAATAGGTAGAAAGTTATCTGGTGTGGATGGGGCGGTACCATCCTCGAATCCATTTGCGGCAAAATTGTTCCAATCAAAATGTGAATACATTGTTGTATCTTGGTTGCCGTTTGTGTATGGAGCTTGAACAGACATCATATGATTATCTATTGGTGTAAGCTCTGGGGTGTATGCCTGATCGAGTGGGTATGAGGTAGGTACAGTGTCGAATGGGTATGAGTCTTGATGATCTTCACTGTAAGGCATTGACACAGGAGAGAAGCTGGAGTCTGGTGATCCGTATCCTGAGTAGACAGCTGGTGTTGAGGCATCAAAGTTGTAGAACTCCTGGGAATATGGGTATCCACTGGTAGATTGTACTGGTTGATACATCTGTTGTTGTGTGGATGGATGCCAACTAACAGGACGATTCGATTTCATTGGCATCTGTACTGGAAGTCCATTGTTCGATTCCCATTCATTAGTCACCATCATTTGTTGCTGTTGCTGTTGCTGTTGTTGGTTGAGCATCATCATCTGTCGTTGGTATGAGCCATCCGACATGAGAGTCCTGCGTCGGTTCTGTTTTGTGGAGCATCGTGGGCTGTTGTTGGTACTGTTTGGTTTGATAACTCGCATTGGTCCCATATTTCTCTGTCCATTCGACAAAGACAATCGATTTCGAGATTGTGAAGGTTGTGCCATTTGCCTCGAAACGTTTTCCAGAAACATCTGAACATTGTCATCATAACCCATCATGTTCGTTCCATATGATGAAGTAGCATAAGCTGAATCCATTTTGTGATATCGTATAAGAGAGAAGGTAGTATGAGAAAGAATGTTTGCAAGTTGAGGAGGGGTTTGTGGAGGTGTATAAGGTAGTATATGAACTAACGTCAACTGGACGTTAGTAGTCGAAATATCATAGCCCTTGATATGAATTGAGCTAGAGAATACTAAACTTAAATTATAAGAAAGGAATCTACCCAATCTTCCATGTGAGGATTAAATATCGGCAGTACGAGTTTGGAAGACCAATATGCAAGTGACTTACCGTAAGGTTGCGGTATGTCGTCTGTGTCATCTGGTTGATCCCACGAATGTGTAAGGATTAAATCATAGGGAATTTACCGGGTCTGAGCTTCTTCTGGGGATGCTAGACACCATTTGTTGGCGGTCAAAAGTCAAAAGCCCCTGGCTTGCAACATACGCAGATTCGAAAAGCCAGCGGTACAAAGGAAGACAAGGGGGTGAGCTACAACCCGCGGCTGGATGCATATCGCGTACGAGGCTCCTTCGCCCCAGGTGTGTGGTAATCAAAAGGGTGCGTGTCAAACGATGAATCAACTTCCTAAACAGGAGAAACTTGCTTTGCGAGGAAGAAGGGCGAGAAAAGGCGGTCAGGTTGCATCAGCACAAGGGTGGGATGAATTTCCATTTTTCAAGGGTGTATATATCAAGTAGCCGACGGGGTCCAAAAATGCCAGATGCCACTCTTCTTGATGTGCTTTGCATGGGTGCGATGAACCTCTAGCACAATTAGTACACCAATCTAAGCCAAATATGTGGCCCTCCCGTACTGACGCAGCGCCTTTGGAAACTTTTAGATGTGGATATTTTCGATACTGTCGTTAGTGCACATGTTAAGTTGTGGAATTTAGTCAAATTCTCGGCCCCATCGATGGTCCATCACAAAACGTGGGTAAGCTGGGCAAGCATTCCAATGGCTCTACCTAAACTCCGTACTCCGTACATGAAGAACCCCTCGGTCATTTAGATTATGAGGAGGGTCATTCCATTGAGAAGCCTCGAAGGTTCACTGGTACTAATCTTGTGCTAACCAGCCATTAAAAAGACGGCTCAGGTAATAGTAACCTAATTTAGAGTACATATTGCAGGTCAATACGATTAGGTAGAACCGCACAGGACTGGCAAAGCAGCACAATAGTACGAACATTGAAATGCAGTGCTACCGACCAACTGCAATGTATCTAGACCTGGCATGGTCATGGTACTTAGGTAGGTATCATGAAGCATCTAAGTGGCAAACGCGACTCATTGTACATACCCCATATTGTATCTAGTACACACTACAGATTGACTCTTGGCTGATAGGACTTTCCGAGCTCACCGCATAATAATTTATCCTTTCTCAAAGATGTGTATGGCATGAGAAGTCAAATGAACGAGCATATTGTCAAACAATCCTGTCAGATACTCCATATATTAAAATTCTGATGAAATGCAGATGGGGTAACGCACATTATTCTTTTTGCCTTGTTGTATAACACCACCATACGCTTTGTACGCTATATTCGAAATTAGGAAAGAAGGCGAGGCTTTTGACGGCGGAGAGAGTGGGGCAGCGGTAACGCGAGTAGCAGCAGCTAACTAAACTTATTCTGAGTACAGTCATAATTTGGGAATGGGATGATGCAGAAATAAATCACCGACCGTTCAGCTTCCTTAAGATCCAGGTTTGCGTAGAAAACTTTACATGTATTAGTCTGTACTAGGGCTCGCTAAGCAAGGATGATGGAGTAGATGTGGATGTCGATGGATCTTGCTAGGGGATTGCGAACAATCCATGAACCAGCCACCATAAAAGAAAAAGTGCTAATTACGAAACATCCAATGGTATGCATCTATCAGCATTGAAAAAGCCTCTTTCTGAAACTATGAGCCACAGTTCCATTAGGGTGATAAGTGAGAAAACTTTAAAAGACTCGGATGGAACCACTTAAGGAACGAAATGATAATTTCAGGTGCGTCAAGAATTGTCAATCGTTATCCCATCGTCACAAAAGCATGATGATCTCGAAATATTGGTCATTGCCATTCCTGTTAGACGGCATTTCTAAGTTTGAGACCAAGACGCCCAAGTTATAGATGTGTGTGAGTGTATGGAAACATATGCTAAATCACAGCGGTAGATTTTCTCGGATATCAAATTTCCTTGATCCATGGACTTCACGGGCTTATGGTTATCACATAATGCAAATGCAATATGCACATCGAGGCCTAATCAGCAGCCAAAAGGCAAAGCAATCATTAATGCACAGATTCAGCAACTTTATTGATTGAGCATGAAACCGCGGCGAGGTACGAAGTACAAGCAAGACGCACAAGTACAAATTGCATGCATGTGCAATAATAACTAAGACCGGCATGTGGTAAGCAGATCATCCATAAATATGAGAAGTAAAAACGTCTTAGACCCATGTTGGCATGCATTGGTCGGAAGCAAGTCTCGACGAGGCTTTGTTTGGTCATCGAAGGCCCTAAGAAGGGCGCTTGAATTCCAAGGTTGTGTTTGTTTGTCTTAATCGCCCCTTACCCCCTCGTTACAACCTGTCCGTGCTTCTAGGATTCTTCAGAATGAAGGTGCCAAGCGTTGAATTATTCGATACGTTCCCTACCTTCACGGAGCTTATATCGATTCGAAATACACTAAACACTAAATATGCTTCGCAAGGGGACATGACATTGAAAAAGCAAAGCATAATAATGCTACAACATCCCGACGGTGAAACCGATTAGGTGTTAATTTGGCATGTATGGTAGTCATCCAAGTAATTGATTGCTTTTACCGTATCAAACCACAATCCACGATGATCTATCTGTTTATTAGACAACACGCACGGAAATGGCGGCGAGAATATAGTGCTTGCTACCTACCTAGCTTTCAACCTCAACCTACATTGATACCCTCCCTCGTGTGGAGTCAACAAAATCAACCATTAGATGAAAATTTCTATTGAATATTTTTCCTCTCGAGCTTTAAACCAAAAGGGGTCATAACCGGGAATTCTGTGTCTAGTGTATCATACGCTGTGTGTGCATGTGCAACCACCCCGCAATAATCCCAGTTCACCAGTATATGAGCCGGGCCCTTGGAAACTTGTGCTATTGCGAGAAAAAGGCTAGTACGAAATGAATCAGTATTATCTTGACTGCAGCATCTATGGTGCTAAGCCTAATGACGCGTCAAACGACAAAAATCCATGATGATGCCAATGACTTTATTCGATAGGAGACTATTTCATTAGTCGCTAAAGTCGATCTCACCCATGTGTCAACTTTTTTCTAATTCCCACAGTTTCCCCTTGCTTTTCCCCTCTATTGTCGATCGTGTTTCTCTTACCCGTGCCACGAATTTCATATCCATATTTCCAAGGATGAAGATATTTGGAGATGACAGAATCTAGGATCTAGAAGTTTAGAACGGACCATTCTTGCGCAAGCAAGGGTCTGCTTACTTTACCACACTTTTTTTTCTGGATCTTAAACGCTCGAGACATCATCATAGCACAGTGTGTGTGTGTTTCCCATGCCGCATCCCTCGCTTCGCTCCGAATAGCGATTCAGTAAGAGAGATATGCCCGTCAGAAAATTTTGCATCCCGGTCGACAAGGCTGGGACTGGGGCCGGCCTTCCTTTTTGGTTTTCTCACTACACCTACCTTTTTCCTGGAGACAGGCAGCGGGTGTAAGCTCGGGTTGCTGAGAAGGAATTGAGACCCTGGAGAATTTTGGAGGGATCGCTCGATTTGCTAGTCGACCGACCATCTTTTTATACTAACGCTGCCCTTCATGTAAGCTTCAATCTCAATATAGCCAGGCGAGCTAGTACATAGTAATCCTTTATGCTCCTTGAATGCCCAAACTAAATACAGCATATTGACCGATATACCATCCTAAAGACCAGAACCAATAGTTAATACTATATAGTTTGAATCTACGATGACTTAGTAAGACGGATGCTTTAAATGAATCAAAAAACGAGCATTATTTGAGCATCATCTCACACTGATCAGCCATCAGAATTGATCCGATCTATTGTGTTAGGCCCGGTAGGTTTGAAAACTTTCAGAACTCGTAACCCACTCTCAAGTTAATCAATTCCCGCTCTGGTCATCGCACCCTTATGCGAGCCTCTTCGAAACCTTCAATTCCAACATCATCCATACATCTTTTTGATCCTCGTTCGCCGTGGCCGATGGAGATGCTGCGTACCAGCCGATCTTTTTATTATTGCAACACCTTTGTCAATTATAGATGGTCTCGGCTTCTGCACCGTTGCAGACGCTTGCATCCTATCTCGGCCCAAACTCCTTTCGCTGGACCAGGGCGAAGCACACAGTAACAGAATGAGTAAGTTCGGAAAGTAAAACAGGGTAAGGTAAGCCAAGTTATGACTGGCTTTTATTAAGTGATGTGTTTAGAACGACCCCATCGTGTTACATTGAGGAGTAAACAAGTGAGTTTATTGCGCCCACATGATAGGCAATCTAAATTCTAATACAGAGATGCCGGCGCGAGTGATGGAAATTACTCTCAAGAGCTTGTGGAACCTATGGCTGATTGACGGCCGATTACACACAGAGGTCAAAGAGAAACACGATGGTGATTTGTATTTACGGCGTTCGAACCTGTGTTGAACTTTCGTGTTGTCCTCTTTTGCATTGATGAAACCTTACAGTTAGATTTCGATAGCTTTGGGGTTTCTCATCTAGATTGTGCTCGGGACGTTTAGTATAGTGTTGAAGGACAAAATAGAATTTTAATCCAGTGGTTACAAGCATCACGAGAATCATCATCGCCCCAGTATCGAAGTTATCACAGCAGAACACCGTAATCAAAATTGATTGATGTGATACAACCTCATCATGTGAAAGAAGGGCTCAGGGTTTTGATTTCTGTTTCTGTTCATGGCGCGTGTTCCGCTCAGCACACTCAGCATGAAGTGTACGAACAGCACGGATACAAGACATTTTCAGCTCTCCATGAATCTCCATGGATGCAAGTAAAATGCGAACAACGGTCGTATGGAATGCAGCACAGCAGTATTGAGCGGAGACGAGGTTTTTGTACCTGGTATCGTAGCAATCCATAGTAGCATCTCCATATCGAGATTCATAGGTAGGTTCAAGGGTAGGATTAGGGAATACGGAGCAAAAAATAACGAATGATATCTAGCACGCGAGGCTGGGTGGAAAAGTTGGAGACCCTTGTTCTAACTTCTACGTACGCAGTAAACTAAAAGTTCCGCAGTGAGTTCCGCAAGCACCAAGCACTCTCCGAAGTTAATTAGATGCGTGAGTTTTGTGTAGCTAAAGCGGGATATCATGGCGAGCATGGTTTGATGCTTATTTACCAACAGATCACGACGAATGAATCATGTCTCGTGGATCTACAATCATGATGAAATTGTCCAATGCTATCAATAGTCGAAATCGTCAAAACCCCTTCATTACCACTCGCTTCTATTGGCCTATGTAATTGTCTAAAACTTTGAAATCCAACATTTATCGCAAGGATAAATTCCGGGCCCGCGTGAAACTTAATGGAACCCGGTTGTCATGATGAGCCTTACTTTATTAACCAAATCTAAATCCAGGAGATCTCTCGGTGCTCATGTATTCCCCACCATCGAATATTCATGGCAAGGAACTTAAAAGGAAGGGATAGAAGTATCGAAGCCTAGGAAGGAGGGAGGGGCAGTGACAACAGCAATATGCAATATCGATTGATTTGATTAGTGAATGCCCAATTTCGACCTTTTCTCCGATGAATACCTAGATGAGAGCCATCTAAGCGTTTCGACACATGAGCCTCACACACGGAGCTGAAGCAATCCTAATCCTATACTCCATACTCCATGGACCACCATACATAGTATGACAGAATGATGGACATTTGCTTGCTAAATCACTAGCCTATGATTTTAGTTTTTCTAAAAACATTGTGTAATGATAGCCATTAACAGTTACGAACCACGGTATCTACCGGTCCCACGGTAGTGTAGCGTCTACTGTATGTGGAGGTCATATCCTGGAGGTCTCGAACTTCTTTCGGTGATACTCGAGTACGAATGTTACGAGCCTACAAGTTGTGATGAGCACAATTTACGAACATACGTGGTAGTGGACCAACAACATCACGAGCTTGGGTGGTGGCGGAGGTTGCGGTTCGTAATTCAATCATATTCGATGAGGAGGATTTCGGCTTGACAGGCTCAACAGCTTCGACAGGGAATAAGATTTCGATACTGTAATTTATAATGTGGTATTTTCACGGCAACGGCAAGGCAAGTACCATTGGATTTAGATTGATGTCCACCACCACGAGAATACCAAGCACTTAGCCACACACGTTTTGACTCATGAAATGGATTCCAGATTGTTCAGTCTTTCTTGGTAGGCTCGGTATATTTACATGAAGGTATGGATAGGTGTACTTGATATGCCATATTGGATAGTAAATGTGAATGAAGATCGGATGAACGGTATGTGATGGCATGACTAAATTTTGGTACACGCGTTCTGCAGCTTGTATAGCCTCTTTTCCCGTGAAATGACAGTCGTGTTTATTGATTGATTGAGTAAGTGTAAGGATATCGCCTTGTAAGATACGATGGAGCATATGTGAGAAAATTCATGGATGGGTGTGTTCGGAAATGCTGATGCTTCCGAACTTTGGGATAAATGGCTGGATTGGATGCTGAAATGAACTCAATGTTACGATGTTATTGGAAAGGGTTCAATGAAAGCAAGCAAGCAAGCGGCATCCTAACACTTTTCGTACGATGTATGGTTGATTAGACTGGTTGGTGACTGGGCGCTTTTACCACAAGGTTTCGTTCTCGATGAGATTGATAGGATGGTTGATCGTCTCACTCAACTTTCTGTATGGATAGAGTTGGGATCTTACGGAAACGAAGGAAGGTAAGGCGGTAGTATAGCAATGCATGATCTTGACGGGAGACGTTTCTGGTCGAGTGAATGGGTACGACACCAGATGTCATGTTGGTATCGATCTCGTACTTTCTCTGCATCTCCATGGAAGAAAGGAATTGGATTTGTGTCATAGAGCCGGAAGTGGGTTGATTGTCCCTAAGGGTGGGTGATTTTCCTACCCTTTGCTTCCTTTCGGTTGGTGAAAGGGTGCGAAGGATGGGCGTTGGAACGTTTTTGGTGCTGTACAACGCATCCGCATCTAAGATTTCAAGTGTGGACGCATTGGGCCATTATCGGTGTAGGCATCAAAGGTTAAGGTTGCTTGAACAGTTAGGTTGCTGTAATCCAGGGGGAAAAAACTAGCAAGGCACGAGATCATGAGATTCTCTCTGTACAGGTGTGGGTTGCGTGAGAAGGGAAAAAAATGGAATAACGTGCTCATTACTTCTTTCAACCATGTTTGCTTTGCAAATTAGATGAAAAGCATCCAGATCCAGATAACGTAAATGCAAGGTCCAACTCCACATATATACGGTATACACAGCTTTAACAACGATGTCATGGTTGGGATCTCCGTATGCGAAGTACTTACTTCCGAACGGAGTAGGCGATGAGTCAATCAATCTATTTGATCATCGCCATCCTTCATAGCTTGAATCTAGGACCTCCTTCCGTTTTCATTTGTACTCGGGGCGATGAATGGATGGGACATGGTTTTGGTACAGTCATCTAACTACGTACCTATTGCAGTGCTGCAATGCTGCGTCGTCTGCATGGTTAGCATTGCCGTTGGACTGTACTAGATACATGTATTTGGCTGAGGGAGGGGTGAAGCGACGATGAAGGGGTAAGGGAAGAATATCTAATCAATGATACTCTGACATGAGAACAGGAATGTTTGCGTAGTATGCATAGAGGCTAATTAATATATATGAAATACCCAAATCAAAAAGGTGATGCTGATTTTAAAGAATTAAAATAACATACTCGTCCCTTTTCGAGGCATAGCAATGTTTATGGATGACATTTCATTTTTCCTTATCGATAATACTGACAATTGATGGGTGTGGAGTCATGGAAAGGCTAGGTATTGGACGACAGGCCCGACAGGTACATCAATGGTATCATTCGAAAGCCTAAATGTCAATGATGTTCATTGTTTGTAAGTCGGGTACCCCACTTTCGGGCCACTCTTCTTTTGGGCCATCTTAAAAATTTATATTATATAATATTAAAACATTAATTATTCAATAACTATTTGATATTATAATAAATGCTTAAGGATACACTTTCATTATTATCATTAATATTTTTCATATCAATTTTATAGTTTCCTATTTCAATTTATATTTCCCTAATCTCTTTAATTTTAGAAAACTTTAAATTTGAATTAGTTTTCATCTTATGTTTTTTTTGTTTTAAATAATTTATTTCAATTAATACTCTAATTACTTTATTCAATACCCAAATTATAGAATTTCATAATCCTTAGTATCAAATCTCTTAATAATCTTTCTAAAAAGCTGATAACAAATATAAAGATTAGTCTTTTCACTTCAAAGGAACATATATACATATAATCTTAAATCACTAGTTTTTTGAGACATTTTAAAAGTTGAAATTACAGACTTTTTATTCCATTAATACACAGGATCATTATTAAAAAGTAAATTCTAATTTATAACTTCTTTATTATTATTCTCAAACAATAATCTGAATATAATAAACTTAATGTAATTTAAAGACTATAAACCTAAAGCTTTCCATCTAACTAATATATTATACTCTATTAAACTATCTAATTATACTTTCTAATAGTATATAAAAAAAATTGGTTTTTCTAATTACTTTAGAATCCAATAAAAAGGCTAATTTATTAAGATAATGCCTATATACTTTTTTGAAAAATAAAAAAACAAAGAAATTAAAAGACTATAGAATATATAACATATATAATAAAAAGAATAAAAGATATATATTATATTTAAAGTATTTATATATAAATTCAATAATTTCATAACTTCTATACTTATTTAATATAAGGAATCTCGACTTATCTAATAAAGAAAGAATTATTTGAGGTATAAAGATCTTTTTAAACTATTTTAGAATAGTATTATTCATAGTCCATTCATTATCTATAATAATAAAATACTATTCTTTATAGGGTTTCAAATTAGCCAGAAACCATTATTATTATACTAATTTCCCTTTCAATATAATAAGAAAATTAAAAGCTTTTCCCATAATTGAAATATATTATATAAATAATATCCAAACTTTAAAACCAGACTCCTTTTTTTTAAAAATAAAACAACATTCTAAGCTTCTTAAAACTAATTCATTTAATTCTTAGCTTTCTTATATATCTACTTTATTTATATTATAATAATATTAAAACTCAATATAACAAATTAAAAATAAATCCAATTTTAAAAATCATTAACTAATAATATCAATAATTACATCTTTAATATATACTAAATTGATTTTAATTTATCTTTTAATTCTAATCTCTAAATTCCTTTAAAGAAAGTTCTATATTTATCATTTCCTAAATATAAAATCACTTCTTCTAATATCAAAAAGGTACTCCTCAATTTTACAAATTTACTAATATATAAAACTAATACTTAAAGACTTTTAAACTAATATTCAATCTATTAATCATTTCTCCTACATTAGAACTATCTTTTACATATATTACATATCTTTATTATAAAATAAATAACTATTTATACAATTTTGAAAAATAATTCTTGAAATCCTATAATCTAAAATAATTTATTAAATTAAATATCTATTCATTATTACATATAAAGTCAAATTAATATTAATTTCAATATATATCTTCAATATAATATAAATAATAATATATTAAAATTTTAAATCAATTAATTCAAGAATTATAAAGTTATTAAAAATTTAAGATGAAAGGTTGCTTTCTATAATGAGCTTTTTTAAGATGGCCTAAAAGAGAAATGGCCCGAAAATGGGGTACCCGACTTAGTGAGGTAATCAATAACATGCATTTTGGAACTTCATAAATTGGATTGAATCGATTTCAAAATCATGGATTCAAAATTTCGGAGAATCATCCCCTTAGGAAGAATCCCAAGTAGACCTTTACCATAGTGAATTTTTTTCATAGAAATTCAATGAAAGAGAGCCTCTGAATTCGTACATTCCTCAGTAACTTATGAGCTTACGAGGAGGGGTAGGTAGCTGTTAGAGCGTCATTGCCAAAATAATATTCAAGCTTCAAATTTGTATTGTTCCACGAGAATTGATCCAAAGACAACACATAACAATAGAAAGAAGACTAGAATCATCGAACCGATGGCCAATTCAGCACCACGACGCATATCTCTTCCGAATAGGGATCAATTTGATGCTCATGAGGAAGTATGACACAGAAATTTGAGAGCTTGCGAGTTCAAGATTGATTCTGCATCAACTAACATTAGCAGGGTCATTCAAGCGCAAGTGATTCCGAGTATCAACATGCGCTGGAGGTAAATCTATCTCTCACTCTCTTTCCCATCTGCGAAATCATTTGAGCTTACGAGACACCCTCTTCCCACAGGTAGTTTTCGATGCTCAAAATGCGCATCGTAGGAAATCTTCTCTCGTAACGGCTGATACACCCGCAGCCACTTTCCAGCGAAGAAAGAACACAGAATGTTATGTACACGCATTACTCGAAAGTCAGAGAAAAAGCGGCAGGAGATCAAATGGTGGTTTGGAGGGAATAGCAGAAACTCTAGCTTCACGCAGAATCGCAAGTGGGAAGGATGAAACCGATGTTAAAGAGGATGCAGTGATCGATACAAAAATGCACAAGCATGATGAAGAGGAAAATTGTGGCCAGGTTGATGAAACCTCTTGGAGAGATACTTTCAAAGCGAAAGATGCGACACAGCCGGGTGAAGATGATGCAGGTGGGAAGGTGCAATTACAAGCTGATGGTGTGGATGCGGGCGCGACGCACAGTAGACTTCTTACAAAGAAACAACTTTCGGATATGGCTTGGGGGGTGAGGGAACTGAGTAAGAGGCTGGGGAGTATCAGATTGAAGCTGAAAGTCAGAAACGTTTTTATCCTTACAAAGGCGCATGACGAGAGCTTGGTCGCGAATACGAGGGAGGTTACTAGATGGCTCTTAAGTCCAGAAAGACAGGTCAGATATACAGTTTTCGTGGAGGAGAACCTACGGGATAGTAAGAAGTTCGACGCGAAAGGATTACT